AGGTGGCTTTGGACTTTAGGATGGCATGTTTCTTCGGTGCCTCTACGACTAGTTTAATATCTGCCACAAGAACCCCCTGTCATGACTACCTCACCGAGATGAGTGATCCCTGCAAGCAACACCTATGTTGGGTGTCGAAACCCAGATCTTTGAGGCAATCCTTTATTTGCTTGACTTTCTGAGGCTGTGCACTTGTCCTGGAACAGCTTGCAGTTCAGCAGCTCTTTTGGCAGTCAGCTGGCAGACATTCTTATAACATGACCTGCCCATCTGACCTGACGGGATACAAGCTGGGAATCCTAGCTTATTCCAGGTTCAAGGTAAATTCATTGGCAGAGAAGAATTCTCTTATGTCAAAAACACAGTTTGTCACTAGTTTCTAATACACAAAGAATGATTTTGTGAAGACAAGTGACTGTAATATACATAGTTCTAATACACCCCAACCTGTTATTTTGAGCCTCTTTACAGGGGATCCAAAAATGCCTCTTACAGTGACAGTGCATTTCCAGAATGGTTGTGCAGATAAATTTCTTCTCTAAAGGTAACTCTTGATAATACAAATGCTGCTGTGCAAGTGGAAGCCCATTCAGGGCTCATTGAGTCAGAAAAGGCCCTTAACGTGGAGATGATGAAAAATCGTCTCCACCACACACTGAAGGACACAGTGAGTAAAACTCTGATTTACATACCACAGACAAAAGGCAGACTGTGTAAATCACTGTCATACAGCGAGGGATGTGACAGAGATGAAGGAGGTTTGTTATTAGCTACTCCCTTGAGCGACCTGTGGAGGCAAAGACATGGATCTTTGATTAAAGTGTAGTAGGGCTGAAGGCTGAGATGCTCCCTGCTGCGAGGATTTAGTTGTAGAGGAGCTAGTAGGTCAAAGTGTAACCCTGAGGAGAGCAGAGCTGTGACGCATTTAACTCACATACACAGCAAATATGCTGAGACAAAGTTCGAAAATGTGAACGGAAATCATTTGCCATGTTGGCACAGATTAGTTTCAATTAACTAAACAATCTGCCTAACATTGTAGAAAATTAATCATATTTCTTTATACAGCTCTCCACATTCTAAGAATAGAACAGAATATAATATAACAGAAAAATGGATGGTTTCTTTCTCCTCGATTTAATAAAACTTAGCAATGCAAGAAGCACATTTGTAAGTTTTTTTTTTTTTACTTTTTTCGCAGCATGTTGAGATAGCCTCTTAGGTCCACTACAAGTATCTTTCTAATATTATTATTATTAATTTAGTTTTATTTTTTATATATATATATATATATATATATATATATATATATATATATATATATATATATATATATATATCATTTTTACCCCCACCTCCATGGCTTTAAATCCCATCTTTTAGTTAAGGCCACTCTCAAAGTGTGAGCAGAACATGCATTTATAGGGGCAGA